ATTGCAAATGGTACGTTAAAAACAATTTAAATGCATTTTGTACACGTTGCATATCCAAGTACTGCCCAGATCTCTAAACGATAAGGCTAAGAAATTTGATTTTCCCTTAGTATGGGGGCCGGCGTACTGGAACATACCAGGCAAAGACAAGGCGGACGAACTTTCAAGAGACGGCGCATCCGTTCCACTTTCGTAGCCCTGGAAGGACTTAGGAATGCCGATCGTTACCTGCAAGCTCTTTCTAAGGAAGCTACTACCACTTAAACAAGCAAAGCGAATCTTATAAAACCAAAAGGGAACGAGAAATGATCGAAAGGCCTCCTCTTGGAATTTTGCTTTGAACGTGGCGTTAAAGTAAATCAACAAATCTACCGTGAAAAGATTTGAAACTGTGGTTTATTGTCTTTGGCGCGAAAACCCTTTTATTATCAGACCATCGCACAAAATTCGCGAAATCCAACATCTTTTAGTGGAAAAAATAATTCCCAGCTTCATTTCTTCGCAACAATGGCCACCATATTCAGCGGACTTAAACCCAACGGATATTTCCACATGGTCCATTATCGAGGCCAAAGCATCAACTAGAAAAATGTAAGAAATTCAACGCCTTGAAGATTGCTCTTCGCCGTCACTGGGGCAAAATATCACGAGACCACACTCGTGCAGCCTGTGAAGCATTCGCGGATAGACTCGATGCTATTATTCTCGCGAAAGGCGGCTTAATCTAACAGTAATACCGTTTTATTAAAATTTGATAGGTTTTTATGATGATCTGATGTTTGTACATAAATAAAAACTCAACAAAATTTAGAAAACTATAGCATTTTTAATTAGTAGCACTTAAGCGCCTACCCTTGTACACATATGTATTAGGGTGATCCAAAATAACTAACCCAAAGAAAATTCTCCCATTTAGAATTGTATTTCAAGATACTCTTAATCGTCTATAAAACAATAAACTTCAGGGTAATTTTTTAGAAAATTTAATGCCCTATAAGAATATGCCCAGAAAAAAAGTTCAATAGTTATAACATTTTTAATTAAAACAAATTTTTTTACATGTTATTTACATGAAAAATTTCAAATTCCCACCTACACCTTTTAAAATTGAAATAAAACATTTTCCATTTGGAAATTTTTCAAAATGGAAGAATTTTTTTTCTCAGTAAATATGTCAGTAAATATGGCCATAATGGTCCGAAATTTCGAGTGCTGGAAATAAAATGAAAGACTGGATCAAGCCTCCGAAAGCTAAGCTGGCAACATCGGCAAATCATTTTGCTTTTGCAGCAAGTCTTTAAACACTCAAAGTGAATTAATTAAACAAAGCAATGCAATGCTGGCAAACCCCGAAAGTGTTCGGCTGGCCTTTTTTTTTACCAACCTGCTTGGCTCATTGACAGCCAACGCGACGGTGGCACATGTGTATTTGCATACACTTTTGACATTATCTACTAGAGCTGCAAAACTATCGATGTCACTATCGATAGCTTCAATTTGTCACCGCTATCTATGGATGGTAGTCACTATCGCGATACTATCGGAAATATTTGTACGATCGTATGTCTGTGTTTATACACGGAAACTTTTGTCTACGCAATTTTTCATATTCCCTTTTGGTGTTGCTCGTTTCATTTACACGCGGCGATTTTTTTGTATGCAATTGTTGTTATCACCTGTGAACCGCTAACTCAATTTACACAGTTGAACGAGAGCACAAAGCGTGTTGCCCGAGCACGTCTCCACCTTCTACTAAATAATTCTTAGCATCTGTCAATTTTCTTTTTTAACTTGGTCCCGTTTTCTCATGTGGGCAACTTGCAGTCTTAACATATCACTTTCAAAATAACATCGTCAACAGCCAATGTAGATGGCGCGGTAAAATGAAAACTGAGTTGTCATACTACGAAATGACAGCTGATGTTAAGACAGCGATGGTAAGAAGTTCTGCAAGACACATATGGTTTAACAGTGGTAATTTGCGGTCTTCACCCGTCATTTCTGTCTTAACACAGCTTTTTTAACAGAATCTGTAGAAGGAGGAGACGTGGGGTTACCGGTCGATATCGATATTATCGAATGGTGAAGCCGAAAACTATCGACAATATCGAATGGTTCAACCATCTATAGTTTTGCAGCTCTATTAAATATCTACCAACTATTAAAAAATGAGACTAGAACATTCATACATAAATATCAATTACGGTTTACGGTTTTCGTTTTTTCTTCTTTTTTATACTCGTAAATTTGTCTGCACTAGGGTTGCCAACATTTTCGTAGATATTTATAATATTTATAAAAAACTAAAAAAATAAAGTACATTTCAAATATATATAGTATTTTATTTAAAAGAGAAAGTAAAAACGCTTTTCATGTTTTTTCATGATGATGAAAGTATGTTTTATCGTAATCAAAGTTTAAATTAATGTACATCAAAAGTTCATTTTTTATTATTGTCGCTTTATTCCTCTCATCTCGCCATTTCAATAGAAAAACCTCTTTCTGTGAATTTTTTTATTTTTAAAAATATATTGACATTTTTTATTTGTGGCGCTATTCATAAACTCACTATGACCTTTATTTAAAAAAAAATATTTAATTTTATATTTTTATTTCAGAATACAAATTTTCCTTGCGAATTACTGAAATATATTTTTATGACAGCCAATAGCCAGCCCTAGCAGGTAGAAACAATAAAATAAAGATTTGTATTTATTTATAACTGAAGTATTTTTGCATACTATATTTTTTTCTACGTATGCATCCCTAGTCGGCACATATTTTTAATTCTTCATTCACACGATATTTTTAATTGCTTCGATTCAAGGTCATCAAACGGTGAGACAGTCGACATAAGAGTTTGCAACCACTCATATGAAAAAATTCTTGTACTACATGTTCATATATCTAATCGCATGCTCATAACTTGAATGCCATCAGCGTTATCAGCAATTACTCCATTTTCCTTAGTGCTGGCGGTTGAGTTTACACTCAAGACATTGGCTTAAGATCGCGCTGACACATTTCGTTTTTGACGGTAAAGCAGTTGGGGTTTTGCTAGTTCAGATAAAAAAAAAAAGTTTATTCATTCTGTCTTAACCCTGCTTTGATAACGTACATCTGCGAGACGTATGCTTTTTTTAATTTTCGCGCAATAACGAATGAAATCGGTGTTTTTTCCTTTTTAATTTAGATTAATTTCTAAGTGCAAGTGATACATAAGTATTTAAAGAATGCATATTTGCGAAAAAAATTGCATAAAATTGCTGTTATCGTAAAATTTAGGCCGGAAAATCGTCATACGTTTCATAGACGTATGGATTTCTTTTCGGAAAATTTAAGTAGACAAGGCATATTCTCCATCATCTTCAATATAGGCATAAGATCCCACCTCAGTATCGTTTTCATTAATGAAGATTCAGTGATGGGATGAAGTTAGACTCAGGTAGGTTAATATTGTAGTGCCTCTTCAGTAGGTCTAAAACCATCAGTAATCAGTACCAGGCGTCATTGAGAAGGCGCACGTCTTCTATTTGGCAAGCAGATTTCCCACACTAATAACTGAGTGTCTGCTCCACCATATTACAGATGTATAACTGATTATGGCTCTGAATGTAGAGCTGTTAATCGTATCGTAATAGACTCAACGTTTTGACAAAAACTTGTTTTGCAAAATGCCGCCCATACTTTGGCGTCTCTTGCTCATCTTGAGAATTACTCTTTGGTACTTTTTATCGAGAGAAATCTGATTTGCGACTACTTTGTGTGTGATGGGAACTAAAACATCCAACCTTCTCATTCTAAATAGCCAAGATTGAATAGTATTCAGTAGAGGCACGTGGTTTATGCAACTTAGGCCTGATTCCCTTCGAGTGGCACCCGAAGAGCAAGAGCGGTGCGAATTGTAACCAAGGTCGTTCTAACCGCCAAGACAGTATGGTTTGAAATTGACCAATTAAAGCGAAGACGCGGACTGTAACCTATGCCGTTCCAGCCGCCAAGGAAGTGCGACTTCGAAACTCGAGCGCACGAAGCGTAGGCGCTGATTAGAATCTATGCCGTTCCAACCGAATAGTCAGTATACATACGTATACGGATTTGAACTCGTCTCTTCTATAAGCCAGATCAATGCAGTACCATCTTACGCTCCATAAAGCTACTATTTTCCAGCCAGACTTTGCAGGGGATAGCGAAATACCCGTACTACGAGCGGTACTGATCGCTAACAATGATGTTCTTTTTCTTCACAATTCATCTCCAACTCTGCCGGATATAACTTTATGGGCTGGCTCCCATGTTTTTTATTGCGTTCAATGATGTCCTTTATTAGCGCGACGAAGGTGCCGACAGTCCATACGGCAGCTATAGCCCTACGGAAAGGTTCGTATGCAGTGGGGTCATGTTGTCTTTCCATCAGATGCAAAAGGTGAGCGCTTTTTAGGCTCTGTGATCCAGTTGTTAATTGCCGCAGCCGATTGTTTTAACCTTACGGAAAAATACGGCATCCACTTGTGTGAGTTGCTTTGTTCGGCCCTCTCCTCTAATTCCGAGACGGGAATCATGCTCTTCTTCTATTAATGGTTTAGAATATTGCAATGTTACTTTTGTCCTGAAAGCGAAGTAGAAAGTCACTTATCGGGCAATACACTGTACGCGTAGGTCCAGTCTTTTTTATACCCCTCAGTGTACTAAGCTGCCGTTTCCCCTTCAAGTTGACACATTCCCTTTGGTCGTTGAGACTACGTAGCGCCCCAATTAGTTCAGCCTGTATAGAGATAAAATGGGACTAAAAATGGAAATTATCTATTTCTTTCTGGCATATTTACTGTATTGATGCCGAGAAGTACATCATCACTGCCTCATAAATAAGTGCTCCATTTAAAATTATCACTTTAGAACATAGTTTTCAAATTAATCAACACATTAAAATAAACTTTTTTAAACAAAAATATATTTAATAAAACAAGAGAATTATTTACAACATGTAATGAGATGGTTGTTTTTAACTTGTAAGTATGAAGTACCTTCAGCAATTTAACGGTAAACACTGTTTCTGCTAAGGACCTCATAAACAGCACAAACACAGTTTAACTAATCACAGTTCCAATCGATTTACTTCTTTTTGTAGATGTATCCACCGTTCGAAGCATACTGGGTACCAACATCGCCGCCAGAGTACGATGAACCACCCGATGAGTAAGAGGAACCACCCGACGAGTATGAAGGACCTCCCACTGAGTAGCTGGGCGCCGCTGGAGCCAAGTACGTGTTAGATGGACCAGAGTATCCAGAAGAGCCACCGCTTGAGTATGAGCCACCGCTAGAGTAAGAACCACCATCACCGCCGCTGGAGTAACTGATACCACTACCACCTGAGGAGTATGATGGAGCCGAGTAGACTGGAGCGGGTGCGGGAGCAGAGTAGACTGGAGCTGGTGGTGAGTAGCTTTGCACAGGTGGCAAGTATTCATTTGATGGGGCAGAATATGAGGAACCACCACCCGATGAGTATGAACCACCAGCACCTCCGGATGAGTATGAGCCACCTAGCGACCCACCTGAAGAGTACGAGCCACCAAGGGAACCGCCTGAAGAGTATGAGTTACCCAGGGATCCACCTGAAGAGTATGAGCCACCAAGGGCACCACCCGACGAGTATCCACTACCGAGCGAACCACCCGACGAGTATGAGTTACCTAGGGAACCGCCTGAGGAGTATGACCCACCGAGGGAACCACCCGACGAGTATGAGCCACCAAGGGATCCACCCGACGAGTATGAACCGCCGCCGATGCCACCTGAGGAGTAAGATGGTGCACCATAGTTGCTGGAGGGTGGCAAGTATTGTGGAGCTGGAGCTGGGGCAGGTGGCAGGTATGACCTCGACAAGTGGCTAACATCAGCCGAAGCGACGGCGATCAAGGCAAGAGTGGCGGCAATGAAGAGTTTCTGCAACGAAAGAGAGAGATTTCAATTGAGATGAGTGACGAAAAATAACTATGTTCATATAAGTATGTACATAATATTATACATATTATGTGTTCACTTTTAGAAGATTGTTGGTTTTGAAAAAAATTAATCTTTATTGCATTTTTATAAATGGCGAAAATAAATATATTCTTAAACCTTTTCAGTAAAACTTTTAAAAAGATGTCCAACTAATTACAAAAAAGTTGTTATAAATTATTTTGAAAAGGTGGTAAAAGTGAGTAAACTGTTTAATTGGCTTTCATGTTTTATTATAAAATTAATTATTATTTTTTCAAGTTTGGTTTAATTAGATTTTTCTTTTAGAACTCTAAATTTGCAAAACTAAAATAACAAAATAAAAAAAGTATTGTTGGCTTTTTGGAGTAAAGGTTCCTAAAAGGAATTATTTACCGCTGAGACTTGGAATAAGCAAAGTGGAAAAATAAATCACGTAACATTAGGACAGCAAATTTTATAAAACTTAGAAAAATATTTAGCATTGAAAAAAAACCCTCAAACATTAACTATTTTAATTTTTAACTTAATTTAGAAAATTTGTGCTTGAAATTTTCATTTTTTAGGTAAAGTTATTTATTTCTTACTTAGGAAAACAAAAAAAAAAAATATGGAGAAGTGAGTACAGATATTCGATAGAGTTTTTTTATGTGCAAAAAATCTAATTAAAGTTGAAAAAATTTGACTTAATTAGAATATATTTGTTTGAAAATTTTAAATTTCCTTTAAAATTATTAGGTATTCTGTTATTTCTTACTTAGGAAATTACAAACAGAAAAAATGGAAGAGACTATAGATTTTCGATTGATTTTTTGAAATCTTGAACAAATTATTGATATAAAAAAATCTTAAAAAAGTTATTTCTTTCTTTGGAAAACAGCAAAAAGGGAAAGAATTAATGAAATGATTTTTTTAAATACTGAAAAAATTATTCAAATCAAAAAAAGTTGCACGGAAGCAATTTAGGTGAAAAACGATTTGAATTTAGTATGAAAACTGAAAGAAGGGAAAAAATCATTTCTTACTTAAATTGCTGGTGATACCGGCATTAATTTTTTGTAAAAAATGTTTGTTTACAAATCTTTTATTCAAAGTGAAATTATTAGAATATAGAAGAAATTTTAAATTACAAACGTTTTTATAAAATTATAAAAATTAAAAAAAAAAATAGTTGAGTGTTAATTGAATAGTTGTTTAATTTGTTATCCATAATTTTTTTTTCGAAAAACCTAATTTTTTCGAAACTATCTGCCGGTAAGTTTTCATATTTAATTTAAAAAAAAATAAATAAACTGCTTTCTTGAAACTGGTTGTTTAAAACCTCTATCGGAAAACTACATGTTTTTTATTTTTCAAAGCAGGTATTGAAGAAGCCAGTACTATTTGCATTTTTGCAATGCAGAAAAATTTATTAAAAGCAAAAAAATCTAAATTGAAATTCTAATTAAATTTGTTTTAAATATTTATTTTAATTTTTCGTCGTTTAAAAAAATGTCATTCTAAAAAATATACAATATTACTTTTTTATTATTTTCCTAATTAAGGAAATTTTTTAATTGTGCACTTCCCCGGTACAAATTCACCAGACCAATTTGTTTTTGTTTTTTTTTTTTTTGTTTTACATAATATACACCGAGTATTTTTTTAAGATATGTGTACCGATTTTTTTTCGAAAAAATCAGTGCATTTGAATATCGTTTATTTATATTGTTAAAACTTTTTTTTCGATTTTAAAACTCAAATTCACTCCAAAAGTTGTTTTAGACAGATTGCTTCAAAGTTGCATTTCAAAAATAGATTCACTTTGCCCAGCACACTTGAAAACATCTAAGTTTCTGGAACACTGATACCAAAAAACCGTTGCTTCTTAATTTTTCCGTTCACCCACCATTTTGCTCTGATGATCTATGTGTGGTTTCTAAGGATGAGACTACTTAGCTGTACGAAGAGACCGTTGGAACTGATGCTGTTCCACAAACCGACTGACCAATTTATACCAAAATTATGCTTACACACTAAAGGTTTTAACGCGGCACAACACAAATCACCTGCCCCCCGCAACGGCCGGCTATCGCAACAGCGCATAACATTCGGCGACGCGCCACGCAACAATGCTAGGGCCAGCAAACTTGTTTTAGTGATTTACAATATGCATGTACAACAAATACTTAAATACATAAGTACATAAATGCTACCTACTACCCCCGAAAAGTAAAATAAAAAAATTAGCAAAAAAAAACAGCAAAACTACATACAAGTAAAAGAAGAAGGCGAAAAAACCTGAGACTTGGAGACCAAACTAGCGACGCCACGACGATGACGCTTCAGTGCGGCTGTAAAGCGCAAATCTACAATGCCAGGCGCGAATTAGAGGATAATATAAAGAAAGAGGTGAGAGATAAAAGTAAAACCAAAAAAAAAACATGTTTAAAATATACACCGAAAAATAAAAGCAAAAGCGTTTACAACAATAGCAAAGCTAATAACAAATGGGCACTACAGAGAGTTATGCCCAATGAAACGTTGAAACAAACTAAGTCAGCGACTTAAGCGCAAAGCATGCGCGCCAACGTAAACTATAAAATAAGTGCGAGTATTTAAAAATTAGTATTTGCAATAGCTCAGCACCGCATAAGGAACACCAATGGCGTTAATGGTTAGAAATAAATAGCAACGGCAATAGGACATCCGCGCTGCAATGAACGCCGCAGGTATCAAGTGGCGCGGTGTACATATTTATGTATGTAGGTACGCGCAGCTAATTTACCGCCAGCAACAGAGTATGAAAAATTATGCGCCGCTGTAGGAACATAGCAACTAACGCAGCGCGCGGCGATCTCCTTAGTCATGAATGTGCGCGCGTAAATTATTGATAAATGTGGCGCGTTTATTTGTCGAAAGCGTTGTCGCGCCAGAAGTTCTGGTAATGATAACATACTATTCGTGTTAAATACTTGATATACTCGTACCATCAAATTCAAAACGCATAAGCGTGCGCGTCGGCGCGGTGCATCTTTAAATCGCAATGCCATGCGGCGATGACTTTGAGCGCAAAGCGATGCGGCGTTGCGACTTGGCAAATAAAGTCAAGTATGCGTACTAATTTTGACATTTTTCGCTTCAAACTTATTTCAAGCAGATGCTAATGAATGCTAATGATGGCCAAAAATATGCAAAAGTCAAAGTGATTGAAGAAATCATAAAATTATTTGCTAGAAATAAAATCTGAAAGTATTATGCGCAGTCAAAAGTTAACAACAAATTTGCAAAAAAAAACAACTGAAAAAAAACACATAAGAGCACGATTGACCCACAATGATCAGCAGCAGCGCTACCACCGAACACTGATATGTATATGTAAGTACTTATGTACAACTTTGAAATCGGTGTCAGCCTTATCAATCGAAATACTAAATACATCATCGCTTTGCAGCAAATACTTTGCCTTCACAGCGCTAAACAAATGCGCGCAAAGCGAAATAATCAAACAAAAGTAATGCAATGCCGGCAAACTCAAGACCACGCAGCCGCCGCCTAGCTGGCTAGTCTGCTGGCTTATTGTGCGGTTGGCTCATTGACGATCGCCAGCCATGGCGCATGCGTATTTGCATACGCTTGTGTGGAGTTGGCATAAGCGGCAGCAACACGCGTAACATTTCCAATTGACTACCTATTGACGGGCAAATGAGATTGGAAAATGTGATAAATTGTTAAAATAAAAAGAAACTGACAAAAAAAAAATAATAATAATCATCCACACAGAAGCAAGGTTTTATTTTTTTCCTCTACTTTTCTTTGCAAGGCCAACAGATGATTAGGCGACCGCCTTAGCGCTTATAGCCGTCACTACATGTCTGCACAAGTGTATGTCGCGCGTTTGCTGGTGGAACGTCATAACTAAAAAAGTCTAATTTTTTTACAGGTCGTCTAATATTTGTCTGGGGTTACGCGCTGTCGTGATGCGACACTACTCCCTTACCATAGACAAGCTCCGCAGTTTCCGGATGACAGCTTTAAAACGAACATTTCTGAACAGAGAGAGTAACCTCCATTTCGTGATGTTCTAAGAGGCGGCAAATGAGTGTATTCCATATTGTTGGAAGGAATTAAATTCTCATCAGCCTTTTCAAAAAAGGTTCGTTTTTTCCCCTTTTCAGCAGCATAATACTAGTTACTTTAGGTGGAAATGTTTCCTTCTTATTTCGTTGATTCTCAATGTTTCTGCAAAATCTCGTATCGTGTAAGGTGGGTTTGACGTAATTCATAATTTCCTTTCGGCATGTGGCGACATTACTAAGGGGTGCCTAAATCCGGCAATCGTTGTTTGAAGCTCAACTAACGATAGGCCCAATAAACGGGCAAATTCGACGGGGTTGGGCCAAAGGCAGCCCTCTCTCTTAGCTGTTAAAGCACCCGTCCGTGAGTTTTCAGGAATGTCTTCTGACGTGCCCACGAGGCAGTTCTGCTACCAAAAATCGTCTGTTTGGATGATCCTGGCGGTAGCAAGCCAGCTTTGATTGCTTGCCTATTATTCAAACAGGCGTAGCTTAGACGACATCAGAAGGCATCCCGTTACCGTCCGGATGGCAGAGCTCTGACAAGGGTTTTACTTTTACCCGGAGACCACTCATACAATGCGTCCCTTTGTTCAGCCGACAGCGATTATAAGCTATTACTTTTTAGTTCCTGAGCGCGATCGTCCCGAGATAGGGTTCTCTATGGAACCATACATCTATATACTGTAATATATACATATACTGTCTTGTACCTAGGAGTGCGAATATTTATCACCGGGGATTTACGTAACAATTTCAAGCAAATTTCATTTAGGAAAATTCAAAGCGCTCTTACACTGGTTATCCTAGTCGGGATTTTCTAGGTATAAACCAATCCAGGAGCAGAAAGAGAGAACGCCTATATCACAATATCTTGCGGACATGCTTATTGTAATAAGGAAATCGTTTATGCTGTCAATCAAGGAATTTGGATGCTATAAATCACATTTTAACAATAGCTCTCTCAGTAGCCCCATTCACCCCGCCCCTTCCAATATATGTGTCCAATATATTTGAGGGTTATACTGTAAGGGTTCAATATTTTTTAGAATAAATTTTATTAAATACTGACTTTCAACAGTTGCTGAAAAAGTCTTGCGGGTTCGTACATTTAGGCTGCTGACGATCAAAGCTTAACTTGCGGGCAAAGCTTTCCGGAATTTCAACTGCAAATCTGTACAACGACAGTCCAGTTCAGGTACTGTACAGTAAACTGGAAAAGAGTAGGAACAGTCTAGAATATATATTCATATGGACATTAAATGTTGATTGGCGAAGGACGATGTTCGCAGTCGATTGCTTTTGGCTCGAATATTGGGGTTTTCTGAAGTTGCAGGTCTATGCCACCATCCCGCCACCAAGCGATACCATTACCCTATAGTAAAAATAAATGAGGGGTGAAAGCTGCCACCAATTCCCAGATAACAATTAGATGCAACATCGCACACAATAATCGATGTCAATGTTGGATAAGCTGATGTATTATGGAACGAATTTTTTTCGAGAACGGAAAAATACACTGAAGAAGGCAAAATTTATAAGTGATGACTAAAATTCGTTCCAATATGCATCATCCTTCATCCTTCCAAGTCCTTTTTTACACGCCACCTTCAACTAGAGTGGACCCTGTACAACACGGAAACAAGGAGGAAGATAAACTGGCGAGAGAAGAAGCAACCGGAACCTTTCCATGCTATGGGGCCCCACACCTTCACGGAAGAGGTGAGACCAGAAAATGGTCTGCTCAAGAAAACCCACTAGAAGAGTTCACACATGCTTCATGCTACTAAATCGTATTTAGGCAGCTTATCACTATCCTTAAGACAAGTTGAGAAAGGGAACGGGAATCCGGACAGAGAAATAGCCCAGATAACAGGTGTTATTTAACGTTTTATTTTAAATACTTTTAAGTAAGTCGCGAGTAATTAAGAAGGCTGACAATATTATTAATCATAGGGTACATTTTGTATGTAAATGATGCACGCATTTCTATTTATTCCCATTCAATGTGAGATTTTTTTTTATTTCTTGATCGGCACTTTTTAATTTGTTATTATTTCTTGCATGCTAAGCTCTTGATATTACGCATTTATGTGGCATTGAAGTAGGTCAGTCAACAATTGTGAGTTTCTGTGGCACACAGCTTGGCTACCTGGGATTTTTCGTTTAAGTTATTTGCTGTTGCCTTTTGCGCAAGCGCAACGCTATTTATTGCTTGCATGCAAAACTTTATCTCAGCGATTAAATTCAGTTTTATTTCCTTTGGGTGAAAATCGATGACATGAACTATTGGTATACATATGTAGTAATAAAAATAGTATAAAATAATAAAAAAGAAATGTTAGAAATACATGTAACGGTAAATTTGACTTAAAAGTAATTAAAAATAAGCATGTGAGAGATTTTTTAAATTTTTGCATAGTTTTCAAATATCAGTACTCGTACATATGAGGCGATGAGAGCAGAAGTGGCGTAACACCAAAAAACTTTGTTTACTACTTTCTTTTGATGTTTCGAATGTCATATAAAGCTATAATCAACTTAAGTCGTCGTTTTTATTTTAATTTTTTTTTTTTTAATTTTGTAAATTATTAAAAGATTGAACGAGTGCTTACGGTGTTTTAATCTAGTAGGCAAAGTTTAAAAGGGGCATATTATATTCCAAAAAAGTAATTTCGCTGCCTTTTGTCCCATGAGGCGATTTCTTAGAGGCTCGTATATAAGGCCGGCTGCACTGAACAGTTGCTTACTTGGAACGCTGGCGGGTGGTGCGCTCAAATATTCGCGGGCCAGATCTGTCAATTTGTCGCATTTTAGTTTAGTTTTCCACCAATCGAGACGATTTTCACCGAGATGAGCACGTTCGTTTTTTAAGATAGGCCTTCAATTGAGCTTTAATTTCACATTTTATAGTGTCT